GCTTTTGATTTTAGTTTATTTTTGAGGTACAGCTTCATTCTGTTGCCCTCAGAGCCTCACACTAAGATCCTCTGCCTCCCAGATAGCTGGGGTACAGCTGTGTGCCACCACACCTGGCTCCATTTTAAGGTACAGCTCAGTGGCAGTAAATGCATTCACCCTGGAGGACGGCTGTTACACCGTCCTGCCCCAGAACCGTCCTCTGGGAAGCTGCCATTCTGTCCCTCTTCCCCTCCCCCGCAGACCCCGAGCCCCGACATGCCACTGCCAATCTCTGCGTGCTTTCCTGGGGACTTCGCAGAGGCTGAATCATATCCTCCAATTCTTACCCTTTGGTGGCCAGCCCGTGCCACTTGGCACAAGTCCTCAAGGCCTATCTAGGTTGTAGAACGTGTCTGAATGACCTTTCTTTCTTTTTGGCTTGAACTCTGGGCCTGGGCACTGTCCAGCTGAAGGCGAGTGCTCTACCATCTGAGCCACAGCGCCCACACTTCCATCCACACTGCGGATGGACCACTTTCCATTTGCCCCTTCATCTGTGGGCAGACATGGGGGTAGGGGGTGGAAGAGGGGGGCTCAGGTGCCTGTTGGAGCCCCTTCTCTCTCCCTTCTGGGGCACTGCTCTCTCCCTGCCCCCCTCCCTCCATCGCTAGCTGCCCCCGCTCCAGCGCCTGTGCTTTGTGTTACCAGTTGCAGTGCAGACGGTGTATGTGCAGCAGCCCATCTCCTTCTTCGACCGCCCCATCCAGATGTGCTGCCCCTCCTGCAACAAGATGATCGTCACCAAGCTGTCCTACAACGCCGGCGCCCTCACCTGGCTGTCCTGCGGGAGCCTCTTCCTGCTGGGGTGAGTCTGTCCCCCTCTACCCCAGGCCCACACGCGGCCAGGGCCCCTTCTGGGCATCGTGGGATGACCTTTCCTTGCTTTTCATTATCATTTATCCATGTATCATCCATCCATCTCTCATCTATCTCTCATCTATCCGTCTGTCTGTCTATCTGTCTATCTATCTATCTGTCTGTCTGTCTGTCTGTCTGTCTTATCTATCTATCTATCTTTGTGTACTAGCTGGAGCTCAGGGCCTAGGCAAGCTAGGCAGGCTCTGACCATGCTCACTGCATCCCAAACCTTCACTTTGGGGTCTTTCTTCTTCCCTCCCGTGCTCCCTCCTTCCTTCCCTTTCTCCCTCCCTTCCTTTCATTCTTGTGTGTGTGCTTGTCCTGGGGCTTGAACGCAGGGCCTAATGATCTACCCCTTGAACCACAGCTCCTCTTCTGGCTTTTTGATGGCTCATTGGAGATGAGAGTTTCAAGGACTTTTCTTCCTCCGGCTGACTTTAAGCCCTGATCCTCAGATCTCAGCCTCCTGAGTCATTAGGATGACAGGTGTGAGCCATCAGCAACCGGCTGATAGATACTTGGGGATTTTGTGGGAGCAGTGTGGTTGGTTTCCACCCACCAGATGCCCATAGCACCCCACAAATTACCCCAGGCCTGCTGTGTTCCCCTGTGGAGAACCACATAGCTCAGACACTGGGGCATCTAGACACCCCTTTCCATGAATGGGCACACAGAGCCACTCAGACCAGGCGGGTGGGAGGGGCTCAGGGGCTTGCTTTTCTTCTAGAATTTCATACCTAAGTTACCATGGCTGCCTGCGAGAAGCTGTGGACATTCTGCGCATTGGCTGCCTCCACAGAGCCTTTCAGAACTGCTTCCTCTTTGTTGTGTGAGGCAGTGGAGGTGGACTGTAAATATTTATGTCTGCGCAGGTGTTCTCCCAAAGAGAGGCTTGTTCCGCTCTGGGAGAGAAATCAGAGGGACCACAAGTTTTCCCCAGGCAGATGGATGGAAGGAAGGATCTGGGCCTGCTGGCTCACACCTATAAACCTAGCAACTCAGGAGGCTGAGATCTGAGGATTGGGATTCAAAGACATCCCAGATAGGAAAGAAAGTCCATGAGACTCTTGACCTGAAGTAACTATCAGACAGCAGTGAACAAAAACGTATGAAGCCATGTGTTCAAGCACCAGCATCATGCATATGTATACATACACATAGAAGTTTATCACCTTCGGATCTTTGTATTAAAATTGACTTTCATCTTTTAAACCAAGGAGAGACAGAGTAGAAGGAAAGTTCTGGGTCTCTCTGCTGAGGAAGCATTTGAAACCCAAGTATCCTTTCTGGCTCACCCTGCTTCTCAATGACAGCCAGGTGTCCGCACACTCGCTGTGTGGCTGCGGGCAGGTGACTTCACCTCTCTGTGCAGCCCCGGGGGCTGCTGGGAATGGAGTCGGCAGTCTGTGCGGGCATGGGTGCTCTCAGAACCTTAATGCTAGCATAGACACGGCCCACCTCCAAACCTAGGCTCTGCAGGCGCACAGGGTTGGGTGACGCGCACGTGTCTTTTTTCCTGCAGGTGCGTGGCAGGTTGCTGCTTCATCCCCTTCTGTGTGGACGCCCTGCAGGATGTGGACCACCACTGCCCCAACTGCAAAGCCCTGCTGGGCTCCTACAAGCGCTTGTAGGCCCAGGCCAGGCTCCTGTCCCCCGCCCAGCGGGGAGGCCCCGTGTCTCCTCTCTGCAGGGACTCCACCTCTGTGTCTTTTTTGGGGGGCAGTGGAGTTGTAAAACCAACAACCTCCAAACCCCAGAAATGGCTGCTGGAAGTCATATCTGGGACTTGCAGAGACCATGACCTTGACAGCAGGTTCAAGTTCACCACCGCCCCTGGAGATTCCCTCCTAAGATGGCCGCCTTATTTACATACCCACATTTGCATACCCTCATCTGCATGTCTTCATCTGCATACCCTCCAGGACCCGCTGTCTGCTGGCTTCTCCAGCCTCAGTGGGCCTTTCTGGTGTTGCCTTTGACACAGCAGCCATTGCCTTATTTCTTAGACTGTTCTGTCTGAGTATGGCCGCACCACCACAGAATCTGGCCTTACTGAGTTTTGGGGCTGGGCTCTCAGAATGAGTAACTGCAGACTTTAGTGATCTAACTCATTTGAATTTCTTATTTTTTTTTAATGTATGGAAAGGGATATTAATACCAGGTGTGCACCACCGAGGCCATAAAGGCAAAAGGCAAAAGGAGAGAAAGAAAGCTTCATTTTGTCATAATTCTTCTGATGTTCTTGTTTGCCAAGACCCGAAGGGATTTTGGACTCGGAGATCTCCACCACTCTGACCAATATTTGGTTTTGGAAGCTTGCAACCACCTGACAGGCTCCTATCCCCATATCTGCTAGTTCACATTCTCTCTCTCTCTCTCTCCCCCCTCCCCCCTCCCCTCTCTCTCGCGTGAGACTGGGTCTCACTATGTTTCTAGGCTGGGCCTGGAACTCTTGAGTTGAAGCAATCCTCATGAATAGCCAGATCACAGGACTATAGGCATCTGCTACTTACCTGGTTGTTGTTGTTGTTTTTCTTTTCTTTTTCTTTGACACAGAAAAAGAAATGAGTAGTGGCCTTTCCGTGAGTGTTCTTGAAAACTTCTTAGCTGAGTACTGGTAGCTCATGCCAACATTCCTAGCTATTCAGGAAGCTGAGATAAGATTGTGGTTCGAAGCCAGCTCAGGCAGGAAAGTCCATCAGACTCTTCTCTCCAACTAACCACCAAAAGAGATAGAAGTACAGCGGTGGTTCAAGCCCTAGACCTCTAGCCTTGTACAAACAAGCTCAAGGACAGTGAGTGCCCAGGCCTTGAGTTCAGGCCCCAGGACCAGCGCGCGTGCACACACACACACACATACACACACCCCTCTCTTCTGTGCACGGATCCGTTTGGGTGGGACTGTGAGGTCCTCTCATTTTGGGTCATCTGACATCTTCCCTGGTTTGGCCACAGTCCCAAAGGACACTCAAGTCCGCTATGATTCCCCAGAGGCGCAGCTGTGGGGTGACAGCGGAGGACCCCCAGGTCCCTGATTGCCAGAACCCCAGTGGAGGCCGAGTGCGCTGCGGCCGTCTGTGCACTGGAGCTGCAGCCAGGCTCCACGGAAGCCTCAGACCTTGAACTCCAGCCGTGCCATCGGCGGCTGTCGGTCAGCTACGGCCCTGGATGGAGAGATGGCCCCTGTGTTAGGAACATGCCCGTGGGATTTCTGAATTCTGGACACCACGTGGTACTTTGGTGTGATCTGCTTTCCAAAAATAAAGACCTTGGTTCATTCGGTGACCTGTGTGTCGGCTCTTGGGTTGGGGAGAAAGCCGTCCCGTTGTGTTTGCTATGAAGTGTGTTTACTATGAAGTGTGTATATGTGTGTGGTTTTTGTCTGTCTGTGGATTTGAACTCAGAGCCTCACCCTTGCCAGGCAGACACTCTTGCTTGACTTCCAGACCAGACACAGACACAGCCGCAGCTGCGCATCTCCTCCGCGGTGCCAGGCCTCCGGGCTGAGGAGCGAGGCTCGGGGTCTTGCGGGAGGAGCCGCGTGGGAACGCCTTGGTGCTCAGCGCCGACACAGGGCCTGAGGTAAGAGCTTCTGGGTCTGGGTGGCAGCTCACGTAGCGCACAAATGCCGACTGAAGGGCTCGCCGATGCCAGCCGCGGATGGCGAGAGTCCAGGTACATTTTGCCAGGTGCTGGGGCTCTGCCTGTCATTCTAGTTACTCAGGAGCCAGGTGTGAGGATCACAGTTGGAAGCCAGCCCTGGCCGGAAAGTCCTTGAGACTCTTACCTCCAAGTGCACAACCAAAAGCAGGAAGTGGAGCTGTGGCTCAAGTGGTAAAGTGCCAACTTGAGGGGGGGGTGGGAAAGCTAAGAAACAACTCCCAGGCTGTGGGTTCCAGGCCCGGTACTGGCGCGGCACATAGAAAGGAAAACTTCCACTGTCTCCCCTCGCTCTCCTGCTTTGTCCTCTGGATGTGTCTGTCTGGACGCTGCAGGTGAACAGAAGCAGCAGTTCGGGGGGAGGGGGGCAGAGGAGGGAGGTGGTCCACGCTATCTGGGGTGTCTCTGGAGCATTTTCATGTCTATGGCTGGATTGCGATTTATCTAGCAGGTGCCCAAAACAAATTCAACTCACGTTTCTTTGTATAATAATGGTCAGCAGCTTTCTTTTGTTGTTGTTAGTTGTCGGGCTTGAACTCAGGGTCTGGGTGCTGTCCCTGAGCTTTTGTGCTCAAGGTAAGCGCTCTACCACATTGAGCCACAGTGCCACTTCCGGTCTTCTGGTAGTTCATTAGGGAAAAGAGTCTCCCAGACTTTCCTGCCTAGGGCTTTAACCTGTGATCTTAAAATCTCAGCCTCCTGAGTAGCTTAGATTACAGGCATGAGTCACAAGTATTGGTATGAGCAAACCTTTTTTTTGACACTGTCACCCCTTCCTTCGCTCTCCTAGTTTTCCCCTCCATGTTTCTTTTCTTTTTTGTCGGTTGTGGGGCCTGAGCTCTGGGTCTGGGCGCTGTCCCTGAACTCTTCAGCTCAAGGCTAGCACTCTGCCACTTGAGCCATAGTGCCGCTTCCAGCTTTTGCTGTTTATGTGGTGCTGAGGAATCGAACCCAGGGCCTCGTGCATTCGAGGCAGGCACTCTACCACTGAGCCACCTTCCCAGCCCCCATGTTTCTTCTTTTTAAATATAGTTAGTGGTGCTGCTGGAGTTTGAACTCGGGGCCTTGTAGTTGCCAGGCAGGTGCCTGCCACTGAATCACGCCCTCGGCCCGTTTTCTTTTTTAGGGTTACTGACGGTGAAGGGGCTGGGTTCTGGAAGGAGAGGGGGGGTCTAACATGAGTCTCGGGGTGTGCCGGGCGCAGCTGTGGGTGCGCTGGGGCTTCAGTGCTCACAGCTGAGGATGATTTGGGAGCGGGGCGGTGCCAATAAAGCCCAGGCGGGGTTTGCGGGGCTGGCCCCTCGCAGCAGCAGGACGAGGCACCCGGAGGTGCGGGGCCCTGGGGAACGTGGTGAATGGGGCGCTGTCTTGGCCCTGGCCCACACAGTCCCAGTGAGGTCTCAGCACCCCAGTTTCTCGGCTGGGCCCCGCAGAGCTCCTGCCGGCAGCAGGAAGGTGAGTCTGACCTTGGACTGCGCCGTGTGGGAGCAGAGAAGGAGGAAGGGTAAATTAGGTTTGTGGGTGCCAGGTGGGGAATAACCCATCCCCTGACTTCCCTGCGGGCAGAGCAGGGGTGAACACCAGCTACTCAGACGTGTCCCGATTCTCTCAGGCAAGTGTCCCCTTTCCCACTTAGCAGACGAGGAAACAGGAGTTCTAGGGGCCCCTCTGCCCTTCAATCCCTTTATCCTGCTGTGTAGTATTCCATAGCCTAGCTGGGCCCCAGCATGGCTACTCAGGCGTTTCTCAGTTCCGAGCCATCACAGCGTGGCTGTGGACAGTGGCGGGGCTGGAGGGGGGGGGAAGTGCTGAGATTTAAACCCTGTGTCTGCCATTCCTCCCCAGCCACAGCCCCATGGGAGGAGCACCTTTAATGCGCATGTCTTTCATCCCTAAGATGGAGCCTCTTGGGGTGAATGAAATGAGAGTCTGTTAGAGTCCTTATTGAACAGTGCAAAGAATAGCTTGTATGGCCTCAGTTTCCCTCTGTTCTCCACCTGGACACAATGTAGAGCCTCCTGATCCTTTCACGTTGAGTGAGCCCAGAGAGGGCGAGAGACACACAACTAATGTAACGTACAGTCAGCAAGGAAATGAGCCCTCACCACCCTGCCCTTCCCCGCAGGCCCCCTAGGCCTCACTGGACCCCCAGTCTCCTCCTTGAACCCTTTCCTGGCCAGGCCTTTGACTCTTCAAGTCAGACCCAACTGCTATTTATCTTTTTGCTGGTCTTGGGGCTTGAACTCAGGGCCTGGGCACTGTCCCTGAGCGCTTTTGCTCGAGGTGAGCACTCTACCACTTGAGCCACAGCACCCCCTTTGGTTTTCTGGTGGTTCATTGGAGATAAGAGTCTCACAGACTTTCCCGCCTGAGCTGGCTTTGAACTTTGATCCTCAGATCTCAGCCTCCTGAGTAGCCAGGATGACAGGCGTGACTCCCTGGTGCCTGGCAGGGCCTTATTTTTTAAAAGCTTCTCCAGTGTGGAAGGCTCCGAACTCTGGTTCTGGGAAAGGTAAAAACCAAGCAGACAGAAAGACGGGGCTGCCTGGCCAGGCCGGGGTTGAGGAGCGGCTTTGTGCAGACCGCAGGGCAGGGCGGGGTGGGGTGGGGTGGGGTGAGTTCCAGGTTCATTGGCTTTAACCACCCACCGTTGCGGTGATGAGACACGTCTGTGCTCTCCATATTTTCACTCTGCTACTGGCGCACATGCGCACATGCAAATACCAAAAAGAAGCAGGTGACATCGATTTAAATTGTTTTTCTTTTGCCAGTCCTGGGGCTTGAACTCCCAGCTTGGGCACTGTCCCTGAGCTGCTTTTGCTCAAGGTTAGTTATTGGGGTGGCGGGGTGAGGGCGCTCACTGGCATGTTGAGGACCCCAAACACCACCCCCCCCAGATGCTCTACCACTCGAGCCCCAGCTCTATTTCTGGTTCTCTGGTGGGTAACTGAAGATAAGTCGCTCACAGACTTTCCTACCTGGGCTGGCTTTGAACCATGATCCTCAGATCTCAGCTTCCTGAGAAGCTAGGATGACAGGCGTGCTAACACCCAACTTCAAAACTGTCTTAACCTTGATTTGCATCCTGAGCACATTTGATATCTGAGGCTTGGAGCAGAGCGAATGTGGACGGTAGATTTGCCTTGTAAATTCTTGGTCTGTCTGTTGGTCTGTCAGTTTGTCGGTGGCTCAAGCTGGGATTTGGGCAGGTGTCGGCTGCATTCACAGCTGCTCTAGGGTTGGAATGAGCAAGCGGAGCGGCAGCTTTTCACGCGGGTGGAGTGAAATGGAATGAAGCTTTCGTGGCGCAGTGGCAGGATTGCAGGTGTGGTGGCCGCATGGCGGG